AACATGGAGAAAAGAATGGAAATAATAAAAATGATTGTAACGAACGAATATATATATGTATGTATGTATATATATATATACATATATGTATTATATATATATATAATATGTATAATACGGTAAACTGTATCAAAAGGGGAACCGTTTAGAGTCAACACTAACCTTATGATTTTTCCTTTTCAGTTAAATGCCTTGGCATTGCTAATAATAAGGTACGGAATAAATATTCTACAATTTACTAACTAAGTTAAGTAACATTTAAAGCTACTCGTTGCTAGATCCGAGTGAAAGCTACGCGTTTTAAAATTGTGAGAGCTAATTCTACTTTTATTAAGAAGATTTTATTAAGATTATTCTAATTAATTATAAATGGAGAAAAAAAAAAATTAAAAAAAGATCTGTGTTTCAAATAAATATCAAAATAACTATTACAATAAAGACTTCATGGGATACGATGCTATCCGTAGTGAACTTTCTAAACGTTTTCACTTCCATTTTAATTTTTCACTCCCATTGTAACACGCATCAACAGAGGAAACGTAAAAAAGGCAAAAATTAATTAATTTGACGGTAATACCACAGGGATAATAAAAAAGAAAAAAAAAAAAAAAACGACATTAAAAACGACCACGTCGAAACAAGCGCCACATCATCAAAAAACCAACTTAATCCATCAACAATCCAACTTAAAACTGGTATTATTATAACATCGCAACACCCCTTGAACGGAAAAAAAAAAAACACTTTCTTTTCCACTTGCAAAATACACGTACGTACGTACGTATGTACGTACGTAAAATTCATTGCGTGAAAGAAAGGAGGAAAAATAAAAAAAGAAGAAAAAAGAAAAGAGGAGACGCAAAATAAAAAGGAAGGAAATAAAACACAAAAAATATCAATTTTTAACCAGCGGGAAAGAAAGGTGAGGAGGAGGCCACGTCATTCATTTAGAAATATACTCGTCGATCGGAAAACAAAGAAAAGAAAGAAAACAATTTCCCACGCAAAAACACACTGGCTCCCTCTCCCTTACCATGGCACGAGAAGAAAGGTAGCTCGAGGAGGTTAAAAAAGATAAAAAAAAAAAAGAGGAAAGCGACCACGACGGCGACCACGACGAAACGAAAATTGTCGTGTGACTTAATAGAAAAAACGTCGAACACGTTTGGGGGGAGGAAGACGAACGACAGGCATCGACCTCGTCCCAACCGATAATTCTCACTTACTTGTTGTTCAATCCCCCAGGATGGAGCGGTATCGAGACGACAGCCTCCCTGAGCCGCATATCGGATCCTCGTCTGAAACCAAAACGCACACACGCACGATTCGAGATGCTCCTCTCTCTCTCCCTCTCCCTCTCCCTCTCCCTC